TGTGTGTGTGGTTTTTGAATATTATTACAATAATGAGTTAATGTAATTTTTGGCAAAAATGTGACATATTTTTAAAACAACCTCCTTTTATGGAAAATGCTTCTACATATAGTTCATAGCTTCCCTGATTCAATTGTGTGAGATCTCTACACAGTCTGAAATAGAATTTTGGAAAAATTTACATTATTTTCAGAGTTACTATCAAAGGAAATAATAACCGATGTTTTTTGCTAAAATTTCTCTACTCTGGATTGCTTTCAAAATATGAATAAATCCCCATCTAAATAAATATTAAAAATATTCTAGTTCAAGTTCTGTGTAGACAAGTTTTGAATTATAAATGTATAGCCATATATATATATATATATGTATGTATATATTATATATATATATATATATATATATATATATATATATATATATATATATATATATATATATATATATATATATACACCATACCTCATATATATATATATATATGTATATTATATAACACTTATATATATATATATATATATATATATATATATATATATATATATATATATATATATATATATATATATATATATATATATATATATATATTATATATAATATAAAATAGCATTGAAGTACTGAAACCTGCAATTGCTAAAGCAGAGGAAGAAATTTGGAATTCATCAGACACAACAAATGTAAGATACAAAAGTCTTTTGAGGTCTAAAACTGGAGACCTGTACTTGATTTCTAAAGCTGTTGCTGAATTGAAGCCCAGAGAATTAGGGTTGAAATGCTTTTTTAAATCGTAATAGGTCTCAGTTAGTCAAGAGCACTGTATCTACGACTGACCCTGTGTCTGATGACCAATTTCTTTAACAACACTGGAGACTCTGAATACCTAACTTCACTATTATTACTATATTACTTACCTATATATATATTATTATTATTATTATTATTATTATTATTATGGTAGAATTTTCCATAAAAGGAGAATGTTTAGAAAATATGTCATTTTTCCTTCATTTTTTTATCAAAAAGTTGCATTTAAATAATTTTTTATTGTAATAAAATTCTAAAAACAATTTTTTTGTACATTCTAGTTCAAGTGACTCTAAATATTAAAAAAATATATCCATTCAAACATTTTTGAAAAATAACCATTCCTGTCAGTTATTTGAATTCTTACACAATCTGTAAATAATTCAATCAAATGAAGTAACTTGCATGTTTTTACACTTGTTTTTCCCGATATCAGTGGTTTTTATCAATGTAATGCTGATATTTATCTGGGTATCAAGCATTTGACACCTAAACATAGAGAATATTAACTATTCCAGATTCTCTTCTCAAAATGACACGAAAATTAGATTAAAACGTAAATTAAATGCATGCTGCAAAATAACGATGTCTGATATTCCCCCCCTCCTAATGAACTGCATAATGGCAACCAAGTCCTTCCTGACACCCCAAATCCCGAAATGTGAGAGCCATCTAGTGGTGGCTCCCGCTACCAAATTTTGACGCTTGAATTAATTTTAAATCAAAATCTTGTCAGATGCTAAAAATTGCCACGATTTAATTTTGCCATAAGTACCACAGACAAATTTATACTCAAAGGATCTTTTACACGCCACACCTGATGATATGACATGTGTGCCTACGAGAGAGAGATTTTCACATCCAGAGAAAATCTTTCGACAGGCCGTGATCGAGCCCTCAGTCTTAAGGCTTACGAAACGGGATCGTTACCTCTAAACTACCAAGCCGACAAGATATTAAGACATAAAACATTGCACTTCATAGTAAATGCAAATATTAAGAAGAGTCTTAATTGAATAATAATGTGTGAATTGTATAGTAGTTAAATAGAATTGAATTGATTCAAAAATATATTTCCACCAAAGTAAAAGTGAGTGAGAGTTATACTAACATCACACTATAAAACAACACGAGGGCTATTGACGACGGACCTCGTAATTTTGAATCTCGGTCAAGTGACGAGGATGACATCTCAGCAGGTACTTCCTCTCCCAACTACCACACCACACGAAATGAGCCTGGGTAGATTTAACGTGCATCGAGTTCCTGTATACAGTAGGACTTCAGTCGCATTAGGACTTGTAACTGCGATACTTTGGTCACAGGTTCATGACCATGACCACTAAGCAACAATGACGTTGAAAATGAATCCATATGAAACATCACAGACTTGGTACTTTAACGATATGATTTAGATTCTATCTTCTGATATTAATATAAAAATTATTATTTTTTTGCTTTTCAAAGGAGAATGGAAAATCATTATGAGTGGAGTTCTTTGTATGTATAACAAATATCTCTGCATATAATACAATATAATTAATGCAGCTAATAACTTCCACAATGACGAATTGTTAATATTTGTGAAGTGTTTGACTTACTAAGTAAAAAAGTAAAAATTTGTTTTTATGTATTCGTTACACATCTTTCAGATCAGCATATAGATTAAAAATTTAAACTTGACAGATTAATAATAATGATTATTATTATTATTATAAATTTTTGTAATTGTTGAATCTTAGTAAGTTCCAAAGCACATATGGCTTGAATCAACATTACCAAGCTCGTGCTTTTTTAGATTTTTAATTTATCTTAAGAATTTCAGTCAGAAATAAAAGCACCTAAGCTCTTAGAAAAATTTTATTGCAAAACTTCTGATAATTAATTTTAAATAACTAAAGTTTATATATATATATATATATATATATATATATATATACAAATTATTATAAACATAAGTATAACCAGTCAAAAGATAGTAAGAAACACTAGCCATAGAAATACAATAGCAAACTCTTGGTCTTAGGAACCAAGATTACAGGTTTAAGTAACCTTCACTGGTAATTTGCCAATACATTGGGCCAAATCATTCGATTTTTTCAAACCTTGTGCAGAGCAAGCATCTTGAAACAATGACTTGTAGAAAAGGTTTAAGCCGTGATGAAATTGCTTATTTATTGTGAGAGATTTCTGAGAATGAATCGGATGGTGGTGAGCTGTGTGTGTATGTGTGTGTCTTGCTCTAATTTAGATTCCGATGAAGACATGAGATTGCGTGAAAGTGACTGCGAAGAACCTGAAGAAAGTGCAGATGTTATTGACAATACTCCAGTAATTCCTGATATATATGTCTCTAGGCATGGCACAGAATGGATATCGCATAATAGTAATGTCCCTGGCAGATTTGCGATTCGAAATGTTTTACGACAAAGCAGTGGTCCAACAAGCTTCGTTATAATTACATAAAATAATATTAAAAAGTTTTAAACCTAAGCCCTACTGAACAGTATTCTGGCAATTATTTAGTTAAAGCAATTAGTTTATGTATTTTATATCTCGGTGTCGAAATGACGTTTAAGTGTAATCGAAATCCCGGACGTTATAGTGTTAAACTGCTTAAAGAAGAAGCATTTGGAATTATGTGAGTCTGTGTATTATCCATAAGTTTTAACAATGAGCTATCCATGAAATCTATCTTCTCTAACATGGGTATTTTTTCTGTCCAGCCAAATTAGCACTTTGAGATAGAACAACTCCCTTCCACAAACGTATGTCACTCTTTAATAGAATACAAATTGTCAGTGGGATAGAAAAGAGATTAGGAGCAAAATATAGCCACGTTAGCACTAACTCAATTGTAGTTTATTTCTGAATTGGAGTCCGGAATAATGGTTGCTTTGTCTTTGAAAGAAATTGGAAGATTTCTCTTTGGCGAGCTCAGAGATTGCATCTCATTAAAGATAAGTACCCATTGTTTATTACTAGTTCATTGTCTTGTCCACATATCAGGTAATCAGGTTTAACGTTAGATTAATAAAAGTGAATTATTGTAAATATCTATGGTTATCATTTCGTGTCTGACTTAATGGCGTCTCAATCTCTACTGCGTTCGGATCCCCTAGAATCTGGTAAATGAGTGTGACTTTCACCTCAACCAACACGAGGTAGAGTTACTGTGAAAACGTTAAAGTTATTCTTAATTTTTACATTACAAAGTATGTGAACTTAGTATGAATGCATAAGTAGTTTGTAGTAGATTTAATATGTATAAGTCAGATACAGCTAATTTTAATGAATTAATTCTAGATTAATTTCGTTACATTAGTATTAATTAAATGACAACTGCTTTTGAATAATAATTTAATATTTTAACAAATTAGTTTTTTAAAAAGCTTCCAATTTCATTAATTAAGATTTGTATTTAAGGTTCGTGGAATGCATGTCGCAAACTCTCACCCACTGAAGTGTGAGGGTTCACTAAAAGATGAGATATTTTCTTACAATATGCATTTTTTTTATTATGAAAATCTAATCACACTACCTAAATTCTGCCAAAGCTACTGAAACACGTCATGTTATATTCTAATTTAAATACCTGGAATATAAATCTTGTACTTTTCTTTAATATAGCAGATCATCAGCGAAAATATGATTCCTAGAGTGAACAGTCGAATTCTATCCACTTCAACCACGGTAATTTTCACTATTATCTCTTTTCTAACTTCGTAGTCTCCGTATGACAGCAATAACATTCTCCCTACTTTACTCTTGACTTGAAATAGTAATCTTCATTAACTTAAATTACTGTTCCCTTAAAGAAAAGAGGTTTTATATATAATCATATAACGTCATCGAAAGAGTCTTTCCTAGAGGATTAGTAAGAATGGGGAATAGAACCAGTTGCATGCATGATCCGTGTATTCCTTTGAGTGAAGAAGAGAGACAAGTAATATAAAAGAGAAAAAAAAAATTGTCAATTCTTACTTAGGTAAAAAAAAAAATATTTCACTTTAGTTACTTTTTATTAAATAATTACAATTAATATATAATATAAATATGCATAAACAAATGATAAAATCACAATATTAAGCGGCAAAATAAAAATTGATTTTCCTTTCTATATAGGGTGTTGGATTATTATTTTTGTTTGTTACTATTTATTCATTCATAGCCCACATTCTTAGAAATTAGGCCATCCCAAGCAGGATTCGAACGCATGACCTTTGGATTAGAAGTCCAACGTGCTATCCATTGCACTACTGGGATACAACGAGCAATTTTACTTTTCATATATGGTATGGGACTATTACTTCAGTTAGTTATTATTTATTCACTAATTAAATAGAATTAATGAATTAATATTTGAAAAAACTGTATTAACATCAAGTGTCACAGCTACAAGTTTTAAAAAATGTATTTGAACTTGAGTGGATGAATAAAAAGTATTTTATTAACGATTGAAATTTTGAACAAGATATTTATATATGTAAATAAATATACAAGGACGAGTCAAATGAAAGTGCCCACCCCCCTGCGCAAGAATGGTTCTATCCATCATCAGCGACGCATGCGCGTAGCACAGAGACATCTGTCATTTACGCGAAAGTGACGTGAAAGTGTGAGGTTAAAGTTCTTTAAGGAGTTCATACACTGGGTTGAAGACGGTAGCGTGGCATAATGGAGGCTCCAAAAGAGGAACAGTTTTGTATGGTCAGGTGTTTGGCAGCTGAAGTTGTTTCTCAGCAAGAAATTTTCGCCGTATGACTGCCGTTTACGGTGTACATTACATCTCATTGGTCACTGTGAAGCTTTGTAGCAAACATTTCAGAGAAGGACGTGAAAGTTGCAAAGACGATCCAAGACCGGTCCAAAGCCACCTCGCAATCACCTCCAACACAATAGCACAGGTTGATGAGCTGATTCGACAAAAACGGTGGATAAGCATCGATGAACTGGCAGAGAGTGTAACATCAGTCATGGTTCGGTTCATAGCATAATTCATGATCTTCTCGGTTATCGGCTTTTGTGTGCAGCATGGATCCCCAAGCTTTTGAACGACCGCCAGAAGACGGAGAGGTTCGGTGCTGCTTTGACTCCACTCATCCAGTATCACAATGTGGGTGACGACTTCTTGTCTGCAATTATGACCCAAGACGAATCTTGGTGCAGCCACTATGAATCTGAAACACGCCAGCAAAGCTTACAGTGGGAGTATTTGAAATTACAACCCCCAGAGAAAGCAAAGGCTGTCATTTCTGCGGGAAAGGTGTTATTGACTTTTTTTTCGACCATCAGGGGTCATTATTGATGGAATTTGCTAAACCTGGAGACAATATCAATAGTTCTCGATATTGTACAACACTGGATTGGCTGCGCAATGCAATCAAGAACAAATGACCTGGCAAATTGACGAATGGTGTGATCTTGTAAACCCGACAATGTCCATCCCAAAGTCGCTGATGCAGTTAAGACACAACTGGCAAAGTTCAAATAGAAAAGTCTGCAGCATCTTCCATACAGCCCAGATTTGTCTCCACACGAATTTCACATTTTCGGGAAACTTAAAAAACCTCTCAAGGGTACCAGATTCGTGTCGGACGCCACCGTAAAGGAGTCAGTTACAGACTATTTGAATCAGCAGCCCACGGAGTTTTATGAGACGAGAATCACGCGGCTCGCTTGTCAATGGGACAAATGTCTCAATGTTCATGGAGACTACTTATAAATAAAGTACTCTGTTTGTCAAATATTTGCATTGGCTCACTTTCATTTGACTCACCCTCGTATATAAGGAGAGTGTTATCTAATAGTAGGAATTGAAAAAATAAAAATTATACAAATATTTTATAGCTATGAATTGAAAATAAAAAATAAAAAAACTACTATTCTAATATACGCACAAATATTTTTCTGATGACATAATACATAAAATCCATTCCTCACCCAAATATCCTTATTTCTACACAAAATTGGAAATAAGAAGCTACTATTCTAATGTACACATGAATATTTTTTTGATAACATACGGCGCGTAGAATCCATTCATCTTCCATCTATTCTTATTTCTATAAAACAATGTCTCCAGTAGGTATCTAGATTATAGATCTTATCGAGAGGTAATATTGCTATGTTTTGTATTTTGTAATGGAAATGGAATAGGAATATTTGTCTGTAAATAAGATCCTTTATTACTACAAAAATAAGCTATAATTGAATTAAATTGTCAAGAACAAGCATTCTGAATTATTGTTAAAACAAATGAGTATTATGGCATACGTATGACAATGTATTCTAACCAATAGATGAGGAAATATAATTATATATAATCTCTTTTCAAACTTTACCAAAATATAATATGTGACAATAACATACATTGCCTACTTTGATGTTAAAAGAGCAAATAGAAATCTAAAGAAAACTATCATGTACCAAAGATAAAAATAATACATTAAGTCGTATCATAAGCAGATGTGAACAATTTTTTAATGGAAACGTTGAAAAAATAATATTCATAACAGAACTATGTTTTTTTTTATTTATGTTAAGTAAATCTATTGTTTTATTTATAATGCAAATAAATTAATGTGTTTTTTTTAAAAACAATTCTCAAAATAATTGGCGAAAGGCTTGAGAGAAAATGTTATTTACTTCACAAATGACTTTTTTTTGGGGGGGGGGG